CCACGTGCCTCCGCAGAGGCCGCTGGTCGCACCGGCGCGGCCCACTGATCCGAACAGGTATGGCATGCTTCAGCCCAGTGCGACGCCACCGATGTCGCGGCTGTGAGCGGCCTTCTCGCCGTGGGAGGCGTGCGTATCGTGGCAGCTGCGTGGTGCTATTGGTGCGCCATGTCTTGTCCACAGTGCCAGAGTTTGCAGCCCTGCCCTGGTCGTCTGAGCAGCCAGTCCATTGCTAGCTGCCCGCGGCCAGATTCGCAGTCGTTATACCACGGGGGCTGTGTGGTGCCATTCGCCCTGCACAGTTGGTACACAGTGGTCTTGCTGCCAGCATTCTTTTTGCACAGCCTGTCAAATTTGTAACAGGTGCTTGTATAGCCTTGGTTGCTGCTACAGTCTGCAACCCAAGGTTTCTAGCTCCGGTGGAGCCGGTGTGCTTAGAATTTCTTCACATGCCAGTGTGTTGACGCTTCGGCTGGTGTGTGTGTGTGCGTCAGTGTTCGTGTGACGCGCAAGGAGTGCGCAACGTATCGGGTGCCTAGGGCGAGCCTCAGTACAGACAGGCATGCAGGCAGGTACGTGGGCAGTCCGTCTGCGTAACGCTCGGCCCAGAATCGGGCGCGACTCTGTTACATTTCAAGCATCACTGCTGGAGCTCGAGCGAGAAATGCACGTTGTCTTCCTCGTGCTCGGGGTAATCATTGGTCAGACTCGCTCCCTACCAGTCGGTTTCAAAGTAAGCACCCGACAGCTTGCACAGAGAGTCATCCCATCTTGCCGCGGGTCGTTCACGCGATCGTCCGGCTCCATGCCATTTGCAAGTGGGTACCATCGCGATAATCTTGCAGGCCAGGCGCCGGCCTGGTTCAGGAGGGGAAGAAACACACAGACACAATTAATCGTCGACTCCCCAGAAAATATAGGAAAATCTGGGAAGTGGTGGGGAAGACAAAAACCCAGAAAATATGGGAAATTATTTGTGTGTATTTATTTGTGTGTCCCAGGGCCCCTTCACTGGTACGTAATTACGAGATCAGCGCGTGCCTCGGTACGCAACAACATAATCAGCGCTGGCCCGCCCCGTCGAAGCCTCGCGAGAAGATCGCGCGAATGACGCCAGGACTCAGCATCACGCGTGCGGTCTTCTTGAGCCATGCATCTGCGCCTCGGAGTGTGTTGCCTGTCCCATACCATTCCGCCGGCCTCCAGACGAGGATCTGCAGGGCTTCCGATTTTATGTGGGTGTGTGTCGCCGCATCCCGTCGTGCTGGCTGCGTGTAGTTGCTGCTGATTCGTCCTGCTCTTTCCCGCGTCTGTTGCGGTGCTTCTTTGGGGCACTCAGGGGCCCGGAGGCATAGAGCTCTTTTGGAGCCTCTGGGGGCTTTTGGGGGCCTCTTCTGGTCATGCCGGGGTCTTGGGGGCCATTTTGCGTGGAAGGTCTCCTGAAGGTTCCTCTGCCGTCTCCCGGACTCTCCTGGGCCGTCTCCAGGCCCTATTGGGGGCCTTTGGGCTGTCTTGTGCCAGTCTGGCGGGCCTCTCGCGCCGTTTTGAGCTTGCCGACGCCCGAAAAGGCGGGGAGGCGAAAATCCTGTTACAACATGTGGGAACTCACAGATTTCTACCTCGTGAGCATCTTGCGGCGCCTTGGGCCGTTTGGAGGCCATCTTGGATGTTCTCGAGACCTTTCCGGCGCGTTGGAGCACTTCTGGAGTCGTCTTAGCAGTTTGGGCGTCTTGGCGACCACCTGGGGTTTGAGGCTCCGAAGGCCCCAGAGGTGCGTTGACGAGCTCGTGCCCCCCCTTCCCCTCGAACAGGATTTTGGACCCAAGGGAAGGGGGAGAGGTGGGAGGAGGAGGAGGATGCGGAGGAGGAGGAGGAGGAGGAGGAGGAGCAGGAGGAGGAGGAGGCGGAGGAGGAGGAGGAGGAGGAGGAGGAGGAGGAGGAGCAGGAGGAGGAGGAGGCGGAGGCGATGGCGGAGGCGGAGGCGGCAAAGGCGGCGGCGGTGGCGGCGGCGGCGGCGGCGGAGGAGGAGGAGGAGGAGGAGGGGGAGTGACAGCCAATCACCTCGCACGCCTTCTCACCCCCGGCGAGCGGGAGTCGGCGGCTTGCCTGCCCAACTCTGCTGCAGCCCCCGAGCGCACTGCGATGTTTTCCGCCGCCGGCGGGCTGCACTGCGGCGCCGCAACCGCCGAGGGCGCGGCTGCGGCGCGACGGACCAGCTCCGACCCGATCGCCCCGAGAGCCTGCAGTCAGAGCGCGTGGGGTGCCCACGGGGTGCCTTGGGAGGCCGGCGGCACGGCCGGAGGGCCCCCTCGCAGCGGCTCGGGGGGCCTGCGCACCTCGAGCCCGTGCAGGGCAGCAGGGCCCCGGGCAGCAGCAGCGCGCGGTGCGAGGCGTCCTGTGCAGCTCGGTTTCGGGGGCTTGGCTTCTGGAGGCGACGCAGGCCCAGACTGCAGATGCCACCCCCGATTAGCGGGAATCCCCCCTCCTTGCCCTGCCCGAG